CAGTCCATCAGTCAGTCAGTCACTCAGCGCCGGTTAGCCACCCCCCCTATTTGCCATTTTGCGAGTTTATCGTAATAAGCCCTTGGAAATGTGAGCAAGCCTTGGTTGTGAGTACAGCCACAGAAAATAACATTGTTCTTGTGGTTTTCGGTGTATATGCATATGTATGTATGTAGGAGTGTTAAGACAAATATATATGTACTATGCACATAGCCACCCATATTGCGCCAATTGGGTGTTAAGGCAAACGCCACCACGGACTGTAGCTTCACCGCAAACTGATCGTGACATTTTTCTTCTTTTTACTCAAAATTATTTTGTTTTATGTTTATCTAAGCATTTTACTTTTGTTTTTAATTGCGTTATATATTTTATAAATTTTGCTTACGTCAGTAATTTTAAATGAGTTGGAAAATGATGAGCTACATAAAACCTCACACCAAATGACGGAGCATTGATAAATAGTTTAGCGCAAAAAGTGAATTCAAAACATTCCCAAGCGAACTAATTATGTAGAACGTGCTTCTAATAAGAACGTCTCTTGTGACATTATGACATTTTTAGTTAAAGAAACATGAGAATATTTCTTTTAGGTAGGATAATAAACTATTTACCGAGCGCAAAAAAAATCGGCCACAGTTTCATACTCGCAAGCTGAACTGAGTAGGATTCAATACGTGAGTTGGATTGAGTGGGCATGTAAAGAGGCGATTGGTGTCGTGGGGAGAGATTTCTGCCTCTTGTTGTTGGGGGAGTTTCGAAATGTAGAAATTAAACTGCAACGGGGAGAGGACAACACCCTGTGTAAACCCTAGGTTTTGATGTTTTTATCTTAAAAAAAAATTGCCGAGTCTCGGACCCTCAGATAATTGAAGTCGGTTGTGTTTTTTGCATAAAAATTACTTCTTTATAAAAATATATTTCATTCAACCATGGACCGTAACAGTTACAACTTTTATTAAAAAAAAATCGCTCTTTAATAATTTTTTTTTGGACTTTTATTTAATTACTCCTTAAATAACCGTTATTTCGGACTTTAATTTTATAGATCCAAAATAACAACTGACTGATTTTCATTTATGACTTTTATAAATAAAAGTCTTCAATAACAGTTATCTAAGACATATAATATAAAAACAAAAATATTTGTTATTTTGGATTTATAATTCAGAAATCAAAAATTATTTTTATTCTTTTTAATTTATCAAAATAATTGCAAATAAAAATTTATTTTCAAATTTTAGTATCGGTGAAAAAATAAATCGATTGGTATGTATCACTTAGTTGTAGAACATTTGCTTCATAATGAATTTTTCAATGACAGTTTTCATCAGTAACTGTTACGTTCGGTCCCTGCATTCAACAGCATTCATTAAGAACTCGGGAAAATGCAAGAAATTTTTATCGAAATTTTCAATTTCAATTCGGTTTCTTAGAAGAATATACCGTTGATTTTTGAGAATTTTTTCGCTCTAAAAACTTAACGGTTATTTGTAGCAACTTGCACTTTATTATACTATGATTTAATGGGCTACATACTCAAAATTTGTCAAAGAAATCGAATTGAAAAATTGAAAATTTCGATACAATTTACTTGGTATGAAATAAAAAAATATATACATATTATTCTTGTGTTTTTTTGCTGTTGAATGAAATATATTTTCATAAAAAAATTGGAAAAATTTGTATGGAAAATATATATGTATATGTAATTAAAATCGTCAAATCGAAAGGGTATGCATATTTTTGTCGCTGACTGTATGTATATGTGTACTTATTTTCAATGAACGAGTAGGCACAACTCACACCAAAGCTTGCATTCTGTGGTCATAACTGACGTAAGAAAAGGATGAGGAGACCAACGAGACATTTTAACGAGCATTTCATTAAAGAGTGAGAAGACGATTAAATCACGCTGTTAGGTGTAAAACATGCTTCGAGCGTACATCTGAGCGTCCGTTCTGGTAATTGTTTTACCAAAAATGATAATGTCGTTAAGATAATGGGGGAAATTTCCCTGTATATCCATGCGATTAGAAGTGAGATCCCAGCCTCTAAATCGGTTAGTCCGGAACTCTTTCTCACTAACTCATAAGCAATTTCATTTCCGGAAGTGTTGCGACAAGCAGTGGCCTATGTTATGGTCTTCGGCGATAGCAATTACCTCTGTCTGGAAAACACCCGTAAAGTCAGGTAGGCGTACATACTAGAGCTGGGATACTATCGATAGTAATATCGATACTTGGAAACTGTCGCCACTATCGATTACATTATTACATTACATTATTTTGTTATCCAAGAAAATTAACAATACAGTCGGCAAAAAAAAAATTTAGTTATTGGAATTTTTAGCAACTATAAGTTTACACTGAGTTATATTTAGTAAAATTTAATAAGCTACAAAACCGCTTACACAAAATTTGTATAGAAATTCGAATTAAAAAGCTTGAAATTTTAATGATTTTGTAGTTTTTTATGTTTAATACAACTTTTATAAAAAATTAGTAAACACTAAACAAACAAAAAAATAGTCAAAACTGTTAAAAATGTTGTGGTGCTATTATTTTGACAAGTACTTTATTCGTTTTCTTATAATATGGTAAAATTGTAATAATTTCCTTTGTCCCGATTTTGATATGCGCCTCCGTATTTGATCTCAGTTGAACTTTTATAAGTATGAGTTGTCAATTTAAACGAATATCTTTTGTTTTGTTTGTTTTTTTAGTATTTGAAATGTATGTATTATTATATGTATTATTATAGCCAATTTCTCTTCTTTGCACTTCAAAAGGGACAAACAAAATCCGAATTTGATTTTTCCATGTAAAAAATAAATTCAGATTTTGCCTGTCGCTATTCAAGTGTATGCAAGTGTGTGTATATACATAAGTATATATAATTCAGACGCATAAATTATTAAGTTTATTTTATTATTATAAGAAATTCTTTTTAATGCACTCAAATTTAAAAAAATGTATTTAATTTACAAAGTAATTTATAAATTTTAAAAATTCATTAATTATTTAATTTTCAAGCAATTTAGCATTTCAATTTAATACCTCTCATGACGATAGTAATATCGATACTATCGATGTTTTCAACTATCGATAGCATCCCAGCTCTAGTATGATCTGTTTACTACCAGGGACATGGGCAACGTCAAACTCATAAAAATGTTCGTACAACGATTGCGCTCTCTTAGGCATGATAAGGTGAAAATATCCCTCAATGTAGGGACCTGTTGGTATGAGTAACTGGAAGAAATTTACAAAAAAAAAGGGTGAGCGGGAATTGCCTAAGTCTTTTGGTCTCGGCCAAAAATGGGAAATGGCTGTGGTGTTAAATAAAATAGTATACAATTCAGGATTCGCTAGTGACACACCGGTTCAGGGTTAGTCGATTTTTTTTGCAGGGCTTATTACTTTGAAAAGAGGAGTTTAAGCATTCGATTAGTATTTCTTTGCGAAGCTTTACAATAACAAGTTAATAGAGAATAGGGCATGCAGCAAAAATTAATGGAAATCGCAAGATCGAGTTTGGGGAATCATAGAATAGGTAAATAGTGGAACTAAAAATTTCGTATTTCAGTATTACATTAGGGGAGCTCACGAGTTGTAGCAATAATTCTATATTTTAGCTATTCGATTATCGTAACTATTGCTATTTCTGTTAGCGCCATATACAGCGGCGGGCGAATAAACAGGGACGCGAAATTTTCAATAAATCTGTGTGACGGTGTTGTTTAGTTTCCTCCATAAAAAAAAATCGAACATACTTACAATACCTCGTACGGAAGAAAATTAATGCGTGACACTGTCCGCAAAAAGTACTAAAATTAAAGTTAAGTCCCAGATACTTCAAAATTGCAGTTTGCTGCACTAAAATTTCATGGGCTACAAAACTGCGTAATATTTTTTTTTAAGCCCGGATTAAAAACTTTCGAGATTTTCATGAATCACTGTCGAATTTTCACAATTTTTGCCTAAAGTGTGAAATTTGGACTTGCATGGTTTTCGTTAGATGGTGAGCTAAAAAAAATATCAAACATTAAATAAACAAAAAAAAAAGCCAAAACTTGTTAAAATGTTGCGTCCATATTTATTTTCCCGCTACTGTATGTACGAGCACTTATAATTTCTGCTTGCGATTTCTAAATATAAACGTCGAAATGATTTGCCATTATAAATAATGCGCCTCATATCCATTCCTCTCTCCAGCTACTGTAAGCCCTTATGTAGCAATAAAGGCGTTAATGACGAAGTCGCCTTGTGTTATTACCATTTACAATGACGCAGTTTGCGTACTAGTTTCCCAGCGATTCACCTTTAAAGGTGCGCCAACGTCAACCATCTGCCCAATCGTCAAACGGCAACTGCATACCGCAAACATTTAAAGCACATTTATGGTAAAATAAAGCAATGCATGTGCCATTACGCAAAACGAAAACAAATCCAGAGGAGAATGCAGTTGTCGAAGTGGGCTGGAAGCCCACTCAACTTGCATTTAAAAAAAAAATTAAATATATAAATAAAAATATTTCAACTACATAAATACATACATATATTTCATACATGTACTCACCCCTTTGAACCAGCTGACTTGTGCGCGCGGTACAGCCTCGTAGCTGACGCTTAGCTTAACGCTTCCACCTATGAGAGCGGTACAATCCTGTGGTCCCTCCAAAATGCATGCAGGCACCTCGACCTGCTCGGGCTGTATTAGCGCCTCGATTGTCTTATCAGCGTCGTCACTTGTATGTGGACGTGGAGTCTGCTCAGCTGTAGGCGCGCGTCCTGGCAGCACAATGAGGCTAGTGTAAGCGCGTAGCGTCGAACTTGGCTTACCAAGATGTGTCACACTCAATTGCACCTCGCCGCAATGTCGCTGTTTGACGTTCTGTATGCGGAGTATGCGTATGCCGTCTGGCCCGTTGGATACATGCGTCGTCGTACGCGACTGCTGGAGTACCAACCAAGCCGCAATTGAAACAGCAGCCGAAAATGATAAAAAAAACAGCGCCGAAAAAGAGAAAGCAAAGCAAACAAGTGACGCGCACTCAGATAAAAATGCAAATACTAATTGTGTATGTAAAGTGAATAATGAAAAGTATTCCGACTTCGTTTACAAAGGGAGCAACTGTAGAGCATACGCGCGCCAAAAAAAAAATAAAAATAAACGTCTAATTATTATGTATTACCTAGGAGCTGGTACACTAGTAAACCACTAGCGCGGGAATTATCTACTCATAAAATTTTATGCAAAACACACTTTTATCTACATTTATTTGCACAAACGGCCAATTATCCGACTAAAAGACAATAAATTTGTATTTACTTGCGCGCTACCAGCTATAAAAATAACAAAACCAGGAGAATGAAACGTCAAACAGAAGAAAGCGCGAAAATTGCAGCGGTAAATTGTGGAAAACCGCAAGGCAACACTACGCGACGACAATCAGCGCCGAACTGGCAAAGCAGCCCGTCGCAGCTGTGCTAATTAACTGCGCCCGCTCAGCCTTAAATTCCATTAGTGGACTACTTGGTTGCGGCTACATGTCTCAGTTTGGCAAGAATGCCGACAGCGAGCGATGAAATAATAAGAATAATCAACGCTTCGGGCAGGTGGCCAATTGGGGCGTCTGGAGCGCCAACGAAACATCAATACGATCGCAAAATGCCAATTACTGGAAGTATGTTCTCAGACACTTGCGCTCCATGCAGTGATCCGCGGAGAAATTGAGTACAGTAACTCTCAACATGAAATAATTTTGTTCTCAATTGCTTGATAAAAAATTTAACCAAGGGAATAATAAAGTAAATACGTCACTACATGCATACAGCAGGAGAGAATTTGAACTACTCCTGAGCGCAAAATATAAATATTTAAAATAAACAAATACATACTAAATATGTAGATAACATCATCTGCATTTGACCTATCTTTTCCTCTACGCCATTTTCACGAAATATTCATTGATCCCGCGCATTGACGCGTGATAATATTCCAATGAATCATCGAGTCTTTTTTATAGGCACATTTTGGAATATCTTCCAGTTTTTTCTGAACGTGTTCGGTTTTATGTCTATACAAATAGGCCCACAAATGTGGCCGGAAATGTTAAATTTCTTCCGATTTCGATGAAATTTATTTTGTACTATATGCGATGGGTTAAATAAATTACTTCAATATCGATATCAATCTAAATTTCTTTGAAGACATTTATTTCCAAAGTATATGTAGGAGGGTTGCCACCGGATTTAAAAATTCAACTCAACATGAATTAATGGAATTAGCTAATTTAAATATGTATCACAACACGAGTATCAGACGAAAACGGTTTAAAAAGGTATTAGTTTGAAAATATTTTTTAAAGGATTAAATCCTGTTTACAAAGTTAAATTTGATGTACACGATAAAGGAGTTACTACAATATTGATATCAATAAAAATGGCCCTGAAAGAACTTTATTTCTAAACTGCAACTGTTCACAATTTAAGGCAATTAGGAAATTGAAATATGAACCTCGATATAAGTGTCAGACGACAGGGGGTTTGTTAAACCGTATAATGTAAAGCACATGTATTTATTTCCAAGTCAATTGTTTTATGAAAAACAAAACAATGAAAAACAGTAGAAAAAAATTTAATTGAAAAAATAAGACTTGCTATTGAACGGTTAGCAGCCAAACGCAACTAGTTGATATCGCGCCGATTCTAGAATGTCTTTGGGTAAGTAAATGTTGTCAAGTTTTGTATTTACTACTTTTACTTTTCCCTCTCTGAGCTAAACAAGATTTTCTATCAACTCTTAACATGACTTTTTTGCACTCACCTCCTGCATCCGCCTGCGATCTTCTCTATAATCTCCTATAGACTGAACGAGTCATAGTAGAAGTCCTTATATACACATGTAAATATGTTTTTAAGCTGCCGCAAAAAGTAAAAAGATTCGGTTTTCACAGTGGGTTTTCTATGGCCTATGGGCGCGACAATTTTCGTACTCTAGTCAAGTATATCGCGGCTCCCCCTAAACTTTTTTGTTTGTTTAATTTTTTAAGTTTTGCTACACCACTTGGCTCCACCCGTCGACCTGTAGAGCCGTAAGTGGAAAGAGATTATCCTCGACCCTAACACCTGTTAAGAGCACACATATGCATGTACATTAGGGTGGTGCAAAACAAATAAAGAGCAAATTTGAATGCTCTCGACCCCTAGGAGTATTCTATATTTTATATTTTGAAATGAAAAAGTATTTAGAGGTCGCTCAAAGCGCTCAAAGTTTTCCATGTATTTTTTATGGAAAAAACACCTCTTCGTAGAAATGGAATGGAATACTTGCAAATCAATATTTTTCGATCGTAAAACTCTGGTTCTCTTCAGGAGACTTCCAATAACAATTCCCAGTTATTTATTTAACAATTTTTTCATGCTAAAGATTTTTTATTTTCCACCCATTCCATTTTCTGGCATTTTCTGCCATTTTCTGGGGGTTTTGGCGGACCTATAAAATATAGTTACTATTAAAAAAATGGTTAAATAACCAATTGGATGTTATTTCTGGGAATCTTCTGAAGAAAACAGAGTTTTCCGATCGAAAAATATTGATTTTAAAGATGTCTATACCATTTCTACGAACAGTTGTTTTTTATCCCTTATAAAATACATGGGACACTTTGAGCGCTTTAAGCGACCTCTAAATATTTCTTTCTATTTCAAAATGAAAAATAGGGATATATTTTTTTTCGGTATAGGGGGTGAGAGCATAAAAATTCGGACTTAACTTTTTCACGCGCATTTTTGGACCACCATATTGTACATACATACAGTGATGGAAGAAATAATAGGACCTTTTTATCTTGACCAGTTTTGGCTATATTACTGTTTTTTATTCGATGTTTAATATATTTATAAATTCATATTTTAATTTTTGTACAAAACTTACGAAAATTCAACAAACTTTACCAAATTCTCCCAAAATTTTCACACTTTTTAGTCAGATTTTTTTTTGAATTTTCTGCAGTTTTATAGTCCAATAAACTTTATTTTTTGTTTAACCGATGTTTAATATTTTTGTCTTAAAGTCTAGCGCATTATATAACACGCAAAAATTATAAAAATTCAACAAATTTTACCCAAATCCTCCAAAAATTTCAAACTTTATTCAGTTTTGTTTGAAAAATTTTCGGTATGCAGTTTTGTGGTCCATCAAATTTTATTAGTACAAAGTGCAAATTTCAAGAAAATCTAGAAAATCGCGTTAATTTTTAATAATCTTTCTGGCTGACGGTGTTGTGCATTTTCTTCCATAAAAAGTTCCTATGCTCGACCATGCTCAAAGTTTCTTTTTATATGAAAGAAAATACCTAGCGGCGTGAACAAACAAATTTTTGAAAATCAACGCTATTTTCTAGATTTTCTTGAAATTTGTACTTTAAACTACTAAAATTGAATGCCCTATAAAACTGCGTCAAAAAAAAATCTGATCAAAAAGTTTGATTTTTTTTTGAGTTTGGTAAAATTTGTTGATTTTTTATAATTTTTGCGTGTTATATAATGCGCTAGACTTTAAGACAAAAATATTAAACATCGGATGAACAAAAGTGATATAGCCAAAACTGGCCAAAATAAAAATTTTCTATTATTTCTTCCACCACGTATGTATGTATGTTTCACACTCTTAAATTAATTCGTGATTAATTCAGTCTAGCACAAAACAAATATATACGAGTTAATCACTAAAGCAGGTAGCATAGAGCTCGCCAACGTATACTGTGCACTTATAAAAAAAAAATTAAATGTTTGGAGATACAAAAGTTAACTTTTAAGAAAATATGGGCTCCCGCATTTCCCAAAGTCACTTGTGTCAACAACAAAGTCGTCGATATGAACAAGCATGTCTAGCAATTAGCTCTCAATAGAAGTAACTATGAGTACGAGGAGAACATAAAGGTGAGTTTCACATTAGTGATAGTAAAAAATTATTCTCCTGCCTGGCGCGTTCTGTACTGGAACCTTATCATATACATACATACATACATATGTGTGTTTATATTTATTGTCTATAATTTATCATTTTCATTGAAATCCACCGAATAATGGCAAACTTTTCTATTATATAGATAGATAAGCGACTTTGTAGCTACCTTTTTGAGTAACATTTTGTTGTTATCGTTCTTCATACACTTTTCTTAAGGAAATATATATTTATTTTGGTAAACTAATTTCTTAAGCCAAATTCCGTTGTAAACAAACATTTGATTTGTTAGCGCTTTGGAAGTTCACGACGTCGAAGCTCTACGGCAACTGAACGATCCGACTATTTAGTTTGGTGATTCAACGCGCTGTGGTAGCGGAGTTCCCAAAGTAGCGGATACAATTTCATACATATCTACATATGTTCATAAACACATACATATGTACATACGTAAGTAAGTATGTACAAATGTACATTAATAAAAAAATATATTATAGGCCGCGGTTTGCCGATCGCTTTTGTGTGCCACCACTTGTCGGCGCGTCGAATAGTCGAGCGGCGCGCATACCAACGCTGGCGTTAATCTTCCAGCGTCAATTGCACCTAAGTGGGTATATCTCACATTTTTCATTTTTCGAATTATACGAGTATGTTGGCTATTGCTTTTGTGGGAGTGTTACGCAGTTTTGGCTAACGACGCACAGTGGACGATGCCTTTAGAAAATTCGGCAAAAAGTAAGTAAAAAAGATGTTGCTATAATTTTTTATTTGTACTATTTTCGCTTCGAGATAAAGAAATATCGTCGCCTGGGTAAAAGATTGTCGTAAGCGCAATTTTGACGATTTTTAGTTCTAGATGCAGTTATATATTTTGAAATAAGGTCTTCGATTGGTGTTATCAGTTTTCACATTGACTACACATTTTTCTATAATTTAGTAAAAATTTAGTTAGTGATGCAGCCATATTAAACTAATCAATATCTTAA